TGGCGTGGGTCCTGAGCTATCCTGTAAGGCTGACTTCAAGCAGACACCTGCTACTTGACTTCGGTGGAGAAGGACTTGGGAGTCCTGGGGGACAACAACTTGCCCATGAGCCATCAATGTTCCCTCTTAGCCAAGAAGGCCAATGGCATCTTGGGGTGCATGAAGAAGAGTGTGGCTAGCAGGTTGAGGGAGGTTATCCTCCCCCTCTACTCTGCCCTGGTGAGGCCACACCTGGGCTGCTGTGTCCAGTTCTGGGCTCCCCAGTTCAAGAAAGACAAGGAGCTACTGGAAAGAGTCCAGCGGAGGGCAACAAAGATGATGAGGGGACTGGAACATCTCCCTTATGAGGAAAGGCTGAGAGAGCTTGGTCTGTTCAGCCTGAAGAAGAGAAGATGGAGAGGGAACCTGATCAATGCTTATAAATACCTCAAGGACGGATATCAAGAGGATGGGGCCAGAGTCTTTTCAGTGGTGCCCAGTGACAGGTTATGGGGCAATGGGCACAAACTGAAAGTAAGGAAATCTCGTCTTAATATGAGGAGGAACTTCTGTGCTTTGAGGGTGGCAGAGCACTGGAACAGGCTGCCCAGAGACGTTGTAGAGTCTCCTTCTCTGGAGATATTCAAAACCCACCTGGACATGTTCCTGTGACTTGCTGTAGGTGAAACTGCTTTGGCAGGGGGGCTGAACTAGATGATCTCCAGAGGTCCCTTCCAACCATGATGACTCTGTGATTCCCTTTCTGTGGCTGTAATCGAGGCATTTAATAATGTGAACATGGAGGTTCTTCATATCCTCATTTACATTTTCCTGTGAATTGATACTTAGCAAAAATATGATGTTTTGGGGGAGGGGGACATGGAATTGCACTTGTGCTGCAGCTATGACCTCTTATGAAGACTGAAGTCTTAGTGCTTGGTAGTCTGTCAATACCTGTTGCAAACAGATCATCTTTATACACCATAGAATATAGATTATAGTTCAGGACAACAACTCATGAATTGTTTAGTAAAACAAGCACTTAATGCTATTTAGGGCTATTAGATTCTACATAAACTTGTATGTGGCTATTTGTTGTTTAGTGGCAGATCTTGCTATGGCATGCAGTTTCTTAAGTCTTTGAGTATTTTTAAGATGGGTATCTTGGGCATATCTAGGCTCATCTGTAATTCTATTTACCAAGTCTTTAAAAAGAGCGAAGATTTTTTTTTTTTCACCTGATCTGGAGCACCCTCCCTGATGGCTTCTTTCTTAAAGCAGTTAAGTCGTATTAAAATACTCTTAAAACACCTTGGACAAAGTGTGCACAGGAGTACTGGTAGTCATAAAGATCTCGGTTAGCAAGATATGATGAGAATGTGTGTTCCCTTAATAGAATTTTCCTTGCCCTTTCAGAGTCTTGCAGCCTACCACCTCTCTGAGAGTACTCCCCAGGAGTGGGATTAGCTACTGCCAAGTTTGCTGCGTAAAGCCTGACATCTTGTGGCTGTAGTGCTACAACACCCAAACGTTACCTTTATTTCTACAGATGTTTTTTTGTGAACACGTGTCTCTGGAGCTCCATGTTCATTACACATGCTTGCATGTAATCTTGCAAAAGCGTCTTTTAAATTTGAGAATCTCTCCTTTTAAAATCGTGTCTTGATTTTTCATTAGTCTTATTTTGTTGAGAAGCATTGCTATTGCTTCCTGGAAGCAGTACAGTGATTAAAAACTAGTGGATATATTAATGCTTTATCAGTTTTGAATCTTGTTCTTAAGAATCTTTATGCAACTGTCAGTGTCCTCAGTTTAGTGTTGTGAATTCTGATTTCTTCACTTCTGCAGAGAAGTGTGAAAACTGAAGAAGAAGGTGCTGGATGTTGTCTTGTTGAGCCTGAATCTGTCCATTCCCATAAAATCTTCATAGTTTGATTACGAACAACTAGAACTTCTATATTTCTGTGCCCCTACTAGAGAAATGTGGGTATAGCAGAGAGAAAAAGAATCAATTTCAATGTTGTGTTACACATTTAAACACAGCTGCTTGTGCCATCTAAAGGTCAACAGTCATTTCGATTCCTGAGTGTGGTTTTCCTTTCACCTGTTTTTGATAGTAGCCTATTGTAGCATTATTTGAATAATTAATTTAGGCTGAAGAGTGTGGGTTTGTGTTTGTGGCATTACTTTCCTTTTTCTCATTTGACTTCCTTGTTTGCCTATGCTCTTTTGGGGAATAAACCCCTAGAAACTGTTTGACCGCTTGTGTAGACATGCACACTAATTTGAGTTGTAATTTGAAAAGCTTGTGTCTCTACTTTCATAAAGACAGACACCTGTACCTCTGCACCAGTGCAGTTTCAGTGATGGCACAGACTATTGTATAGGCAGGATTTGTGTATCTTTCCTTAGATCTGTAGAATTTTGCCATTGTGTATGATCAGAAGGGAACTGCAAAGCAGTTCACTGTCCTACAGATGCTGCTTATGGAGGACTGGCTTTATAGATAGTGAACATCAATTTTCATTGAGAAGTTGATCTGTTAATTGCAAAGGGGCTAGTTGCAGCCCAGACAGTGGATGAAGATCATTTACTTGCTTCCACTGTATGGAAGGAGCTTTCTGATGGGAGAACTTAACTTCTTCCTGTTAAGAGTCTGGTGAAGGTAGGATGTTTTCACAGTGGCTAGCTAAAGAGAAAGCAAGACGTGCATTTAATAAACACACGTTTTCACCTTTCTGTGTATGCCTCTCAGACTTGTTTGACACTCTGAGTTTCCCCTATATTTAGGGTTCTACAGCCTGAGCAAAATATTAAGCTATGGTATCAGAGGAGAAAGCAGAACTGATTTAGAGTAAATTAAGCTGAGACAAAATGTTTTTATTGGGAGTCAAGATTGAGATTGCACCTTGTTTTATTAGTCAGCAGTCTCCTTTGGTGGCATCGCTAGACTTTCTTACCACTTTCTCTCATTTATTCCAGCTATGTACAAAAGGAATCTGATCTTAACGGAGCCTGCATCAGACTTCGAGAATTTCAAGCAGCCCTTAATTCTAAAGAAGCTGCACTGGCCACAGCCCTTTGTGATAAGAGAATTCTGGAGGAAGCAATTGAGGATTTAAAAGATCGAATTGTACAGGTGAGAAGAAGAAATATTTCACCATCAAGCTTCTGTCGGCAAATGAGTTGTATTTAGGCATAATACATCCATTGTAAGAGCTGTCATTCTGGTAAAATGCAACTTTGTAGCCTAAAAATGGATGCAAGCCTGTCATCTAGTCACAACTAGAACAAACTGTGGCTCACTGTCAACACTCGAAGCAGTATTAAGTAGGTGTCAGTTTCCAGTATTGTTTGGATTATTAATAAGATGAATGGTCGAATAGAGTGCTTCTAAAATTTCACAAATACAGATAAAGAATAACTGACAAATAACAGCTTATGATTATCTCTGCCCTCCTTTTGGTTCAGCCTGTGGTTCTCCCATCTTCTGGGCATCTGATAGAACAAAGAAGAAAAAAGTCTGCTGCTAGTTTTGTTAACTCTTTGAAATACATGATTTATCTTAAGTAACACCACCTCAAGAGCCCAATTCTGGGCTCCCCACTTCAAGAAAGACAAGGAACTACTGGAGAGAGTCTGTTGGAGAGCAACAGAGATGATGAGGGGACTGGAGCATCTCCCTTATGAGGAAAGGCTGAGAGAGCTGGGTCTGTTCAGCCTGGAGAAGAGCAGACTGAGAGGGGATCTCATCAAGCATATAAATACCTTAGGGATGGGTGTTAAGAAGATGGGGCCAGAGTCTCTTCAGTGGTGCCCAGCGACAGGTTAAGGGGCAACGGGCACAAACTGAAACACAGGAAGTTCCATCTTAATATGAGGAATAACAATGGATGCGATCCTGTGCAACTTGCTGTAGATGACCCTGCTTTGGCAGCGGGTTGATCTAGATGATCTCCAGAGGTCCCTTCCATTCTGTGATTCTGTGAAAAGGATAAGTTGAGGAGACTAGGAAACTGATATTTACCATATAGAAAAACTGAAGTTTTGTAAGGGAAATTGATGTGAAATATCTAGAACTCGCTTTTGCAAGCGATTGCAAAAGCAGGGGGCAAGACATTAGTAGTGTAAATATTGGATTTGATTGCCGAGTTCAACCATAAGATTTAGTTAGCTGTACTTCTACATAGCTGAAGTCATTGCGTCATGTGAGTTCTGCTACATAATCATTGTTGTGTTGATTCTTTTATTTTCTTTTTACAGCTTGAAATTTCTTTAAATTGCGCCAAGGAACAAATTGTACATGAAACACTACTGAAAGTGGATCTTGAAAACCGTTGTCAAACTCTCACCGAGGACTTGGAATTCCGTAAAAATATGCATGAGAAGGTAAATACTTTAGTCTCAAGAATTCACTTTTTAAGGGAAGAAGACAACAGGGTGGTCTCCTAGAATACTGAAATGATTTAGATTGGGAGGGACCTCAGGAAGTAATCTGGTCTCAACTCCCACTCAGAGCAGAGTTTACATCTATCCTAGCTGGAAGTTTTCCAACTTTTTTTTCTAGGAAAAATGATGTTAACTCAGAGCTTTTGATAAAATATCTTCATGTGTCATGTTGTTTTTGTGTTAAATTCTGCCCATAGTATTGAAATGTACATGTCTTTTCATAGTAATGGGAAAGGTTAATAATTTCTCTCATAATCCCTTTATGGGAAATAAAGTGGAGAGGGACACTCAGACAGAGGCTGTGGACTTGTACTGTTTTTAGTTTCAGAACTTTCTAATAGAATGCCTTTGAATAGTAGAAACAGAAGTTGATGAATATTTTTCTTTTAGAGCTTTTTCTTGCCACTCTCCCTTTAAGCTGTAGTACTTGAGGATTTCCAGGAGGAACCTTAGAGCAGTAACAAATGTACCTAACCATACTGTCTTCTGTTCTATATGCACTTTTCCTTGCTAGTTGTATTTTCAGCTTTGTTCGTGTTGTTGGAATCTTTTTTTCCAGAGACTCTGGGCAATCATACAAATAAATGGGGAAAATGCTGGTTAGTGAAAGTGACTGTTTAATTTCATGGTACTTTTATTTTGTGCAAGCATGGAAGATACCTAAAGAAAGGGGGGATGTATTTCTAAAATCTAATCATATTGAGGTGTATTTATTGAAAACGCAGATAACTCTGAGAAGAAAATGTGACTTTACATGCTAGTGGTATCCTAGCTCTTATTTCAATAATTGGCTATTGTGAAATAAGGTACTATGCAAATCAGAGGGGGGAAATGGCCTTGTGTTTCTACTGAAAGTTTCAATATCAAACAAACTAATCTAATGCTGATCTATAAGGCTAGCTAGAATCTGCTTTGCTATCAGCTCAGTGGGTAGCCTTCAAAAACTTTTGTCTCATTTAGTGAATGTTATTTTATTTTTCTATTTTTCTTAGGAAATCAATGAAGCAAGGAAGAAACATGAAAATCTCTTAGTTGAGATTGAATCTGGACATCAAATGGAATATGAACATAAACTGGCCCAAGCCTTACATGAAATGAGAGAGAAGCATGATAACCAAGTGATGATGTACATTGGAGAACTTAAACAGACTTACCATACCAAAGTGAGAACATCTTGTCATACAGTTGTCTGATATACTTTATTTTTGTTTTATTTAATGCAAAGATACCATAGTTAATTGCATTTCAGATTATTTTATTCTGGAGTTTAGTTTAAAATTACCATGCTTTTGAATGTGAATTTGCTTTTTCAGGTCTCACTTTGGGAGCAGGTTTAATCTCAGGAAGTACAGTAATGTAAGAGTAGGAAACACTGTGTGAAGGTGAACTGCAGGGAAAAAGTGATTAGTAGTGGGATTACAATGAGTTCAAAGAAAGTTCCTGTGTTATTATGTATCAACTGTAACATAGTCTTAATGATCAATAAGGTATCCCACATTTTGTATAAAACTTGTTTCATAATAGGGCTTGCTGAGAAGACAGCATCCTGAGTCCTCTGACCCTGTACAAAACATGCGGGAGGTTTACCACACAGAATGATTTCTGCTTTTCACTCTTCTAGAGAGGAAGCATACTCAAGCTGAAATCGGTTATACTTCATAATTTCCTTCCTCTATTATGATTCAGCATTTCTGTCAGGAGGGATTCTGATGTCTCAACTGAACCTGGTTTCTGTGGCTATACTTGTCACAGTTAGTCTTTTTAAAAACAAGGTGGCATGTTACAGCGGAAAAGTTTATACAAACTGAATTTATTAGTATAGTTTTCAGTCTTTTCAGTCTTTACAGTTTTGACAGTGTGCAGTTGCTTATTTCAGGGCTTCAATTTGACTTCAAAAAACTTATTTAAATAAGATATTTTCTAATTTTTTTTAGTCTAGAAATTCTTTCATAATTGAGGCTTTCTTGTTTCCTCTTTTCATGTATACTCTTTCTGTATTTTTGGAGTCTTATTTAAAAAATATTTTTAGATTCCATTTCATCTGCAGCTAGAAGTTTAATAATAAGTCTGGTGCTTCTCAAGTGGATGTGGTAGTGTTAAAAAAATGATCTAGCCAGTTAAAAAAAATTATTTGACCTTGAAGTTGTGGTAGAATGAAGTAACGACTTGTGGCACTGGTACTGTAATCTGAAGGCGTATTACTGATTTGCTTATGTTGGCTGAAAATTAACATAATTATGCTTGTTTTTAGAGAATTGATAATTTCACTTTAGCTTCTTTTATTTAAGCATACTCAAAACCAGTGCTACAATAATTAAATATATAAATCTAAACATTGGCCAGCATGAAAACTGAACTTAGCAGTCGTTCAGCAGTGTCTACAAGGGAAGCTTTTGAGCTTTTAATCCTAGAATAAATATTCAGAGGATTGTCATTTCAGGTAAGGCAGTTCAGTGTGCTGAGCCACTGTGTTTAACCCTTAAAGAAAGAGGTGTTCCACTGTTAGAGCTGCAGAGCGGAACTTTGTGGCTTAGTGTTGTGTGCTGGTTTTAGTGACTCATTTTTCTTCTAGTAGAAGTTACTTTGAGACTGATGTCTTAACTTGATCTACTGCAGCTTAAGAATGCTAAACTCTCCTCTGAGATAAGTGATTTTGCAGCCAACTCAGTAAGAGAAGAACTGAATGAAAGTCGTGTACGAATTAATGATCTGTCTTCCCTCCTCACCGGCATGCAAAAAGAGGTAACGAGCCGTTTGACTCTTCAGTCTTGCTAACTACAGTTGTTGCTTTTTTATATTAAAAGACTTTCTTTCCCTTAACTTGTAAGTAGTTCGGCATCATGACTTGAATTTGTCTTCTATTCTACTGTTCTGCATCTTTTCAAACTTCTTAATGTCTCCATTTGACAGTCAAGTTTTTTTTTCAGTATCCTGCTTCAGAGTGAGTATTTGAAAGGTGGTACTGTTAACTGACTTTTGCAGGCATTTTTGTGGATAGATGGGACAATTTTAGACAAGAGCTCTGTATTAAGTTCTTCACATTCTAAGCAATTTTGTTCTGTTCTGTAGTAATTGGACAGCCTAGCATAGGATTCCACAAAGCAACATTCAAAGCCAGAGCTGGAGTATGGAGTCTCTATCTGTTTAGTGTCTCTTTTCATCCTAGATCCAGTTTGCAGCTAGAACACCAAAAAAAAAAGTGATCTTACTGGAATTAGAATGAAATATGAGACTGAGAATACATCAAATAACTCTACTTGGGCATTTGTAGAGCAGGGTCTTGAGCAGAAACTAATTAGAGTTAGATCACAGAGCACAGACCACACCTGAAGAAGTATGACACAACCTATGACAAGCTTTGTGTTCAGTACTAGCTTATTTGGGAGTTAACATCACGTGTGCGGTGGTGTAAAATCTGGAGTGAAAATGAGAAATGTTAGGAATAGGTTCTGAAGTGGGCTTTTATAACTTACTAACCAGTTAAAAATGCAATAAAACCTTTATTTTTTTTGAAAAACACAAAATATTAGTAAAATTTGGCTTTGATCCTCTTGGTGACACATTTTGAATTGTATTCCTCTTGTACAGTAGACTCTTGTAGGACTTGAATTCTGTGTGTTTCAAGTGAAGAGTATAAATGCAGGGGATGTTATTTCATAATTTGCCAGACAACTTGGCAGATACTAGTATGAGTCTTCCAGTTTTTCTGTTATGTAGGCAAGTTAGCCTCTGGAAAAGATCAGGTGATGTAATGAATGTGCATGAGGTTACACAAGAATTGAATTGAGAGTTTTGCCTACTTCAATCTTATTTCTGTTGTTAGATCACCATCATCGTTCTTTTGGTGGTTTAGTCAACAGATGTTTCTGAGGGTTTTTCCTTCTTACTCTAGTTAATTGCCTGTGTTCTGTTGCTTACTTGGGAGTGACAACTAGGTTCAGAGAACTTGCTTCTGAAATTGCAGAGGCATTGTTAACTTCAGGGCTATCAAAATCGACTTCTGCCTGTTAGACTGTAATTGTCCACCAAAACCCCTGTTTTGCAGCTCTGGGGTTTTTTTTGGTAGTGCTAGTGATGTCAACCAGTACAGTTTTGTTTTGCTTTTGCTAGCACTAACTTTAGCTTTGTTCTCTTGGAAGAAGACAACTCTCTTAGCACTGATGGTGATCTAGTTGGAGTTACCAACACTAAGCTCTGTAGTAGTTTCAACTGGGATCTTCCATGTGACACAACTCCTTTTATTAAATTCCTTATCTGACTCTTAACATTGATGACCAGTTATACTTGTCCTGTGCATCAGACTGTTAGACTGCCTGTTTTTGTCTCTGGACTATGAAGACTTCCTAAGTAAAGTGGCTGCGTAGCAAACTTGGTGAGTTAACCAGACAGGGTGATTGTGACGTGATTGGTTCCTGTGTCTGTCCTTTATTTAAAAAAAAATCTCAAGAGACTATCAAACAGAAGAGAGCATGCTTAGGGAAAGTAAACCTTAAAGCTGTCATCATTTGGCCGGCCTTTGGTAAGCATTCCATTCTGTACGTACAATAATAAGTTCTACTGGCTTGATGTGATTTTTAAAGTATGTGACAAATTAGCTTGCTTCATGGAACACTTAACCACTGTACTGTCAGCAAGCCTTGAAGGTTTTGGTAACAGGCAGACAGGCTTTTACTGACAACAACCGCTATTCCTTTAGAGGAACTTCCTCCCAGAATTCAGAATTTGCAGCAGTAAACTGAAGCAAGAAGTAGACATCTGAAAGCTAAAGAGCAATTACTTCAGGATCTGCAGTACGCTGAGCTGCACTTTGATTCTGTGTCCTGTCCAGCACATCTTAAGTGGTTTGACTCTTGAGCTCAAACTTTTCTTGACTGAGTAAATTCAGGTATAGTAACATCTTCAAACATCAGAAAAATGGAACAGGTAGTTGTCCTTCGAAGTATTTTGTAAGTTTCATTGGAACTTAAGGTGTTATGTTTGTAATAGATGAGGTGAAGAACAGGAAGTTGAGTATGAGTGAGTTTGAATTCAGAAAGGGAGGAGGATACTTAACCTAATGTTTTGAATTCCATGTTGCCTGAATGGCAGAGTGCGTGGAGGTTTGGGTGAGCTTTCCTTTGCACCACTGATGTTTTCAATGCATTCTAGTGTAAAACATGGCAAGATAAAGTGCAAAAGCTTGAGGAAGACTTGGCCAAGGAGCGGGAAAACTCTCGCAAAATGCTTTCTGAGAAAGAGAAAGAAATGGCAGAGATAAGACAACAGATGCAGAAGCAGCTGAATGACTATGAACAACTTCTGGATGTTAAACTAGCACTTGATATGGAAATCGATGCATACCGGAAATTGCTGGAGAGTGAAGAGGAGAGGTACGAAAGAATGTAGCAACAAATGCTGGTATCTGTGTGCTTCCCTTACTTGTCTCATTCTCTGTTAAAAGGCAGCTCTTCCTGGGAATGCATTCGCTGGGTGCTTTACTACAGTTTCCAAGGCACTGTTTGGTTTTGCCCCCCTCCTGTCTGACACAATTCTGAGTCTCCATTAGACCAAGCTGCTTGAGCATCAGACCAATAGCTCTCAAGGGAGCAAATACCATTCCTATATTAGGATTCAGCACTGAGGATGTAATGAATTCTCATTTTTAGGTCTGTTTGGTGCCATGGTTTATAATCTTTTTAAGAGTTAATTACAGGGTTATTTAATTGTTAGCCAAATTTCTTTAAGTATAGAATATTTTTTGTAAAGTAGTGGCTGTTATGATTGCCCATCAGCTAGCTGCGTTTTCCACATCTGACCCCGGAGTTCAGCAATACTGAGAATTTTTGCCTGATAAGTCACAGCTGTCACTTAAAGTAGTTTGATACCTCGCTGTCTTCTGAGTGACATCCTTCTGGTCAGGCTGATTCCTCTCAAGTGTGGGGACGAAACAGCAAAAGTTCTCATGCCATTGGGTTTTTGCTTAAATTTCCTACAAGGGCTTAAGTTCCCTAAGAGTTTTTTTTCTTTGTTCCATCTTGTTACTACTTGCATTCCTAGGCAGATGGAACAGTCCTTAAATGCTTAGAGATGCCTTTATGGTCTTAAAATACTAGTCTGTCAGTATTCTGTGCTCCAGAAGCATTAATCAGCTATTTGACAGCATTTTATTCAATTCTTCAAAAAGTACCTAAGACTTCACTTATAGTAAACAAAGCATGTTACATAAATTCCTGTACCTTTTTGCTGTATAATTCTATGGGATGAAGAGGAGAGAGGAAGTAAGTTTGTATAAAAAAAGCAGAAAATTAAAACCAAAGTGTCATGTATGCATGTTCTTTCCTTTTTTCAATATAGGTTGGAACTTTCTCCTATCCAATTCTCCCAAGTGACAGTTTCACAGGCTTCATCGAGCCATAGTGTGCATACAACCAGAAGGAAGAGAAAGAGGATTGACATGGAGGAATTAAAAGGCAACAGTAGTGTTACCATTTCCCACTCAGCTTCTGCCACTGGAAACGTCTCTATTGAGGAAACAGATGTTGATGGAAAATTCATCCGCTTGAAGAACAATTCTGACCAGGTTTGAAAATGTGCATATACTGTGACTTTACAATGGGCTGGTTAGTATTGGGGGGATCACACGTACCTATTTATGAAAGGGTACTTCATTTGAGTAATAATCAAAACTTTTCCTTATGTTGCACTCCAAATGATGCTAACTGTTATATTCAGTACATTTGCCCCCTAATATTACTTGTAATTTCTGCTTAAGAAAAAAAGTCCCGTGCTACATACAGTTCTGCAAATCATCACAGGAGGGGTTGGAGACTGAGGACTACAATTTCTTAAATCCTTTGTCATGGAGAAGAGTGCATTGAGCATTGTCTTGTTAGGACACCAGAATTACAAGACCAAATTTCTTACAGCCTTGATTTCAGAGAAAGTACAAGTAATTCTTGCCTTCTCCCGTGCTGTCTGTGCCTCAGCTGTGTGTAGAAGTGTTAGCTGCATTATTTTTCAGTGATACATAGGCTTTTTCTAATGTCATCAGATCCTTTACCTTCACTAAAATGCAGCTTATCTTGATGTTTTGGATGGCAAAGACTGGTATGGTTCCAAGTGTCTACGTTCCCAGTAATCAATGAAAAGACAGCAGACTCCTTCAGATGGTGGTACATATGTATCTTAACTGCCTGCCTGGGGTGTTGACAGAGTGCTGACTTCATTTACTGAATGGAAGAAACCTTGACAACTGTCTTGGACTAGACAGCTAACTGTTTAGATGACTAAATTCAGACTAATCAAAGACTACTTCTAGTGAGTCACGACCTGCCATTTTCTTAATTTTTGAGTTTTTCTAGCTCATGGGATTCCTGCCCTGCCCTCCCTTCTCTCCCGTGCCCCCTCCAACTTTGTGTGCCACATGGGTTTCCCTCCCTTTTATTTAATTTAACAACACATTCGTTGTTCCATGGAAGGACCATCGGTTCTGTTGCCAGTAGCCATGGACGATTCATTATTATAAACACTTTGCCAGGGGTCTAGATTTGAGCAGCTGTCTGTAGTGCAGTGTAATAAGCTGTACTTGGGGACTTTTAACAGTTTTTATATATATAAATGTATATCTATGAAAAGATAAAATCCTCTTTAAGTATGGTGTGTTTTGTTGTAATGACCAAGTGAATGTCAGCATCTGTTAAGATAAATAAGACTGTTTATTTTAGACCTTAACTGTCTATTTTCAGACTCAAGTAGCAATTGTTTTAATGTTTGGAAACTGTTGTCAGGATAATTAAAAAAAGATCTACTACTGTAATGATGGCTTGTATATATTTTTCTATTAGATTTGCTAGTGCTTTTCAAGTAGTTGACAGGCAAAAAAATAATTGAAAGGAAAAAATAATGTAGGTCTTGCAAAGGAGGATATAGTGGGAGATGTGTGTGTATAGAAACACAATTTAAGATGACTGACAGGAATATTTTGTTTTCTAAGAAGCTTGCCTGTCATTCTATGCTTCAAAACTGTATTATGTATTTGTAAGGGGATTTTAATACTATTTATATATTTTTCTGGACCAAACAATAACAAAACTGATGCAAATTGTAAATATTAGTTAATATAACATTAGAACTAATAAGCAGGATATATTAAGCTTTAACTTGAAATAAGAGGTAAGACAAAGTTAACTAAAATGATTCTAATTGCATGCTGAAGATCAAGTGATGATAAACGTCTTTACTGAAAATTTTATGTGCCTCATGGCCTCATATGTAAAATACCCTACGTGTGGAACAGAAAATGAGTGCTGATGGAGTTTTTTTTTTCCTACTTAGGATCAACCTATGGCAGGTTGGGAGATGACCCAAAAAATAAGAGATACTTCTGCTACTCACAGATTTACCTCAGGATATGTTCTAAAGGCATACCAAACTGCTACAGTAAGTTGTCAAGCTTCAGCTGTTCAGTTGAAATGGGCTTTAAGCCAACTTGTCTGTGTCAATAAGACACAAGATTTATAGGGGTTTTTTATAGTTTGTTTGGAGCAATAACTTTGACTATAAACAGGTGCATTTACATATTCAAAAATCTGCATTAAACATAACGGTGTTTTATTGTAAGAAACTTTGGAAGTAGGTAGGCAAAGATTTGTATTTTCTTAACTGAAGCAGATTTACCACTTAAATGGAATACAATAACTCAGTAAATAACATGGAAGTGTATAAGACTAGCAAATAATGTTTGCATGTGACTTCTTTTAACAGATCTGGGCTGCAAATGCTGGAGTAACTGCTAACCCTCCTACTGACCTCCTCTGGACTGACCAGAATTCTTGGGCCAGTGGTGAAGATGTGGAAGTCGTACTGAAAAATTCTGAGGGAGAGGTAAAGTACCTCAGAGATGTTTAAACTTGTCTTTCTGTGGTTCCATCCGCTATAAAGATGCAGGTAGAACCATTGTTAGTAATTTACACATGAATGCACATGAGTGTTTAGTAAGATTTTCTGCTTTTGCTTTCCAACCAAGCATACTGTACCCCTGTCTGTCTTAAGTGCTATTTAGGAATACAGTCTATTGAGATGTGTGAATTTATTTCGCTATATTGAGTATAAGTAGTAGAAGAACGACTTGTTCAGACACTGCCCTCATGTCAGGAATTGGGCAGTGCCTTAGAATATGCTTTGCAAAGAAAATGTTTTAGTAGACTCTCCAGTGATTTGTCTTTTAAACTCTTGTTCCTTAAAACTGTATGTTTATGGGGGCTGGGGAATGTTACAATGAAACTCACTTTAAGCAATGAGGCATTAATTCTGCTAAGGTGGGAGTTAAAACTTTGGGTAGAAGAGTTGCTGTGACATCTTGCAATTGAAAGAAAATATTTAACTATATAAAAAAAGGCAAATTTTGGAAAAAGTTCATGAGTGTCTTGTTAGAAAGACTGTCTTTAATCATTAATAGATTTAAAACTAAGGTGTTATGAATGCTGTTTATGCACAGCAGTACCTGAAAAGTATATAGACAAAATCAGTACAAGTAGCTTTCCCAACACCTGGAACACCCATTTTTCAAAATCTAAGTAGGTTAGCGTCAGATCTTCAGAGGAGTCAAGTCTTAAAATTAAAACTCTGTTTCAGGAGGTTGCTCGGAGAACCACTGTCTTTAAAACACGTGAACAGAGAGCAGCAACAGTGGAAGATGTGCAGGAAGAAGATCTTTCCCACCAGCAGGTACCTTGGTTTAGGTTAACAAGGTTATTTAGGTTGAAAAAATGATATATAAGTCATGAATTTTTTAAAAAATATCATACCTGTTTGGGTGTACAGGTTCTTTTATTTTTGTTTTGTTTAATTTGTAATGTAATGAAAGCATGAAGCTGTGTTGTTAAAACCAGTATAAAAAAATATTACTTTATTCCCTTGGTGGAGAGAAGTAGATTTTTCTTAAAACAAAATTTTAAAGCTTAAATATTTGGGGATTTTTTTTTTTTCTGAAACTCTGTTCCTGATAAGATTTTCCCCAGGCCAATTGTTTATAGTAGAGTTTGACTTAAGCAGGTAGACCTAAATTTACCTGAGGTTTTGAGAACTTTAAATATCTCATTTTCTCTGATAGAGGAAATGAGAGATTTGAAGACACTGTCAGAAAAAAATGTCTCTTGCGTACTGAAGAAATGCAACTCTGGAGGCAATGGAAAGGTGTGAACTTGCAGTGACAATGTAAAATGTTCTGAAATAAGGGAAAATACTGAGATGTAACGTACTTGATTGTTCATATTCTGGGTTTTATCCATTACCTTACTGTTTCGACCAGTTCTTCTAAAAAAAATAAAGTTCCTGTAATGCAATGTTCATTTGCTACTTTGCCTAAGGCTTTGCTATGTTTCGGTTAGTATACATCTTAAAGTCAGTTAGAAAAGATAATATAGAACAATTAATTGTGCATATGTAAACAGACAAAAAATGGAGAGAGTTGACTGTGTTGGAAACAGTATTTTTTGGCAACCATGCTTTTTAGCCTGTAACTAAATCATAACTTTGTGGCATTTAATATAGAATCAGATTTTTATTGCAGTTACGCAAAAGTAGTGAAGTGCATTCAGCTGCTCTTGTGGTTTCTGGGGTTGTGTAGTTCAGCAAAAGTGTGTTTCTTAGTAGCTTTAATTACAAAAATGTTAGAGAGATTAGATTTCTTTATCTAAAAACTCTCAAGGTACCTGTATATGGTCCTTGCAGTACTCACCACTTGTCTAAACTCAATGATTCTTTTTGACTTGAGATTCAAATATGATAATTACTTCAGCTGGGTTTTTCTGGTACCTGTGCTCCATTACATATCACAGGAAAGGATATCTAGCATTCTTTTACAGAGGATAACAGGTTGTACAGCTTGTGTGCTGACTCTGGCTTAGACCATGCCAGCTTAATGATTTCATGTGTTAAAAATGTGTACAGTATTTTACTTTGAGTTGCTAAACCTTTTACTGCTGGATTTTTTTTCCAAAGATGACTGTTTCTATTTGTAACAGGCAGGCGCAAAGATGTCTTATGGAGGCTGTGTGATGATGTAAACTTCCAGTCAGCCAGGTTCCTGAAATCATGGTAATACTGAGCTACAGAACAGAGCCTTCTCGGAAGCACAACGTATTTTTGTATTTTCTGTATGTGAATTTTTAACCTGTGAGTCTGATGGCCTTAATTTCCTTTGCTACTGAAAAGGAAGTTTTGTAAAAGAAGTATCTGTAACTTTCTCACAGGATGTGAATTGTTGACTCTGAGCAATGTACTGTTTGAAAAATGATGTCCCTGTCTACCAGATTGATATGCCAGTCTTTTTCAATTGAAACCTTGCTGGAATAGAAATATTCCACTGTTCTGGGGATCAGTTTTCTTGGATTACACCACTCTAGACTAGCCAGCTGCTGTTTGACCTCTTTATATTTAGGTGCTCTTAGGGAAGGGGAGGGCATTTTTGATAGTATAAACTCTTTTATACTGGAGACTTGGGTTTTTTTCCTACGGCACAATCAAGGCTATAAAACTTTTTTTATAGAAAACAGCTTAGTTTAGAAAAAGCTTAAACCCAGCAAAACCAAATGAAAATGAAAAACCAACAAAACAATGTAGCCCAGCTGACCGTGTAAGCACTCAGATGATGAAGGATACAATAAAACTCCTTATTGGTACTCTTTTCCTTTTATTTAGATTTCTTATTCTGGAGGAGGAGTCACGTTAAACATGTTGGTTGTGTTGTTGAGACAGTGTAACCAGCTTAAATTTTCTTACATGATTTTTTAACAAATAGAAGGCTGTTTTAATATGGACTATCTTGCTTGGGTACAATTTGTAGGAACAAAACCAAGTCTTTTGGAGGTCTAGGCTGCATCGGTATGGAAAACAACTGTAACTTCGTCAATATGGAAAATTTTTCTGTCCTCGCTGCATCAATCTAATGCCTGAAAAACTTTGAATAAAGTACCTCTGTTTAAGAAGTTATCAGGTAAAGCGTTTGGAATTTGTTTCTTCTTAGAACTGAGCTAAAAGTTGAATGAGTGTTGAATACTTGGAACTGATAAGCTTCGAAGCTGGCGAAACGTCCATGTAAATGGAACAGTGGCGATTGAGTTGTAGAGATTTCTTCTAAATAATGGGTAACATAACTTAAGATTTGGAAAATTATTTCTTGAGAACTTTATTCAAACTCTGCATAACTGTTTCTGTATCATCTTTGCTTATACAAGTACCAGCCTGAGCAGTTTAAGCATGACACAGTAACATAAATAGAAATTTCGAATTAATGTAGATAGTTATCTTCATCTTAGTCTGGAAGTATTTTTAAATTCATGGCCAGAAGTTTGGAAGTTGATTTGAGCTTTTTTCTAAAATAGTCTCATGACAAATTTAAGAATATTTAACATGTCTTTCATCTTGATTAAATTCCCTTATCTGGTGAACTACATGGTGGCATTTCACCCTTGTGACAGCAGAAGGTGAGAAGAGGTGGGATGGCCAAGGGTTATGAAGATGGGTGAGGATTAGAGGGACTGGTTCTTTTGACAGTAATGCTGACTTAAACTGCATTAAACCACAATGTCATACTTGATTAAATTGCCTGTTTATATTTAAATGTTTACATAGTATAAATATCTTCATGGTTTTTAAGCATACCACTGTATCCTATAACATTCTGAGTACTCCTCAATTTGATCTATAGGAATAATGGCTTTCTATTCATTGTAGTCTCAGATATCTGTAGGCATAGACCATATAAATGAAGACGTGTTGTAGGAAATGGGTAATTCCATTGCTTGTTTGTTGTTTTCAAAACTAATAGCATAGGCTAGCAATGTATTCCAGTGAAGACTTGATTGGGCGAGTTAGGTAGGACTGTTAAATCTCTCCACTCAGTAGTAAAGAAAAACACTTTGCACGTAAGCATTAGGTACCTAATTCTTAATTCATAGTAGGAACCTACAGGTATAATCAAGCATTCTTGGTTATAGCTTTTCTAGAGCCTGTTTTTTTGTCACTGGGATGAGGAACAGTGCTGTAACTCACTTACCTCAATGTGTAGCTAGGAGCTGCTACTTGAAACTCATTTTCTTTATAGAGTCTCATGAATATGCTGATGAATCAGCACTCTTGTGACAGATGACAATAGGAGAAATGCTGATTTTTAGAAAAATTATTTTGCTGTTACAAGTATTTCTGTAAACTAGCATAAAGAGTTTTGGGAAACACAAATGACCTTTCTGGGGAGTGTGTATGTGCATGTGTGTTCACTCTAAAGGTTGGAGTGAAACATCCTACCACCAGGTGGAGATGTTACTATTCAAATACTAAGAAAAAAGAAAACGACAAACCAACCAAAACTTCCTACGCTTCCCTATGGGTTCCATAGTAACTTTTCAAAGTTCTGCTTTATTGAATAGAACAGCTTCTATTCTTCTACCTCTTCCCCATCTTTCCACACTAAACTCCAGAAGTGCATTTTTATTACTGCAAGGTAGGGTGGAGCTTTCATTGCTGTACTGAAAAATACCGGCCTCAAGCTCGTGGAGAGGTATGCGTTGTGCCACTGTATGCAGCAAGTGCAAATTTTTATGACAATACTAGTTTGGGTTTTTTTCTCCTCTGTCATATTGGCTATGAGAGCTCTTGTTCCTGTTAATTTGGAGCTGTATTCAAAATACAGCACCGTCACCGTTGTTATTACTGCCATAATTACACCAGTCTGGGTGAGAGAAGGCACACTGATAGGTTTGGTAGAGGTATCTGACCACAGAAAAAGATGAGTTAATTGCCTATATGGAATGTTATGTGAAATGTGTTCATGTTTTCTGGAGGTTGTTAGTCAGGTAATGAGCCAGAGAAGAAGCAAACAATATCCTAGTTAGCTCTGTAGACATGTTCGACTTGTGATTAAAATTTTGGTAGGTTTTTTATTACTACTGTTACAGTAATATGTAAAGATTATTTTTAGGTACATTCAGTCCTTACTAGAGTTGGCAACAGATATGTATTATCATTATTTGATACTGATCTGCTCAACAGTTGTCAAGAGATACAAATTGCATCATCCTGGCAGGTGGAAACTATTCAGCAACTTGCTGCTTGCAACTAGAAAAACACTTTACCAGAAATGTATCTGCTCGAATACATTAATTCCTGTGAAAACCAGAATAAGAATCTGTTTAGGAAACAAGTGGCTTCCTTTATATGGCACTAGTATTGTACGATGAACACTCCTGAGGCAAGATATGTATTCCTGTCAGCTGGTCTTGTTTCTAGAGAAAAAGCAGCAAACACGTAAACTGCAGTCTTTGCTTATCGAGGACAAGTTCATTAATAAACCCCAGCGTAATCGATTGCAGCCCTGTGGCACAAATTATTTTACACAGTGTAGTCAATTGTAGCTCAAGCAGACAGCAAAATACAGAAAGAAATGAATATGTAAATAATGTAAATACCTTTTCTGTTCAACAGATGCTAATTATTCGTCTGCTTCTGCAAAAGAAGCAATTTTAAATGCTAGTCTTAAATTTTCATGAAGAAATTTAACTATCTTATTGGTGTACCATTTTGATACTAATTTGAGGATTTCTGGAGTGAAAACATCATTCTATGGGGAAACTCCAAATCTGTGAAACAGTGCCTTTTATATTCATATGGCACCGTAAGCTGTATAGGTAGTTCTAGTGGGGGGGAGGGGGGGGGGGAAGGGCGGGCACGTT